CAGTCAAATGCCTTAGGCACTATGCCACCAGAGCTCCCATCACCGCAGGTCAGAATTCCAGAATCTTACAGGAAAAAATTACAGAAAATGTTAAAATATGATAGAACTCAAAACATGATATACACACAATGCCATTTATTTTTCTTACTCTACTCCATAATTGGATCTTTCAGGGGCAGATGTTTAGTAGAAATAAGGTTAGCTCGGATGTTTTGGGAAAGAGCTCTAGAGTCCAACCATTTCAAATGATGTTGACCAATAGTCTGAGAGAGAGACTCCTTATCATCTTATCCTTCTATGTGGAAATTACTAAGAGCTTTTACAAAGAATGAATGTTATGTTCTATCAAATGCTTTTCAGCATCTAGTTAAATGACAATGTAGGTTATTTTTATTACCTATTTGTTTCATATATTACATTGATTGATTTCCAGATACTAATTTGAGAATTCCATGTATTCATGACATAAGTTATATCACTTAAATATATTGTTTGGATATACTTTTTAATTTTTGCATGTGTATTCATTAATAGGATGACAATCCATAATTTTACTCTGTCTTTGGCAGTTTGGGGTAATAGTTCTTTATTCTTTTATTCCTGCCCTATCCATTTCATCTCATATTTTTAATTGCAAATCTCTGCCTACTTATAAAGTTAGCCTTACATCATGAAAAATGCAACTGTGCTCCAATTGTTTCATATTTTTCTGATAAAACTTCCAAACATGATTATAGACTCATTATATGAAGAACTGTGTCTTATACAGTCTTGTACTATCAGTATGGGTTCTTGTGTTCACTGATGGTGGTTATAGAATGACAATGTTTTTTGCTAATCTTATCCTCGTCCCAGAACCACACATTTTATCTGAATTTTTTATATCAAGGCATCTTGCAGCCAGGATGAGGGATTTACTCATTGGTTGGTCATAGATGGCAGCCCTCCTAGCTTCCTGTAAGGGAAAGGAAGAAACAGTACAGAAATATATGAGAGGCAGCATGGTGTAGTGGAAAAGAGGTCTGAATTAGAACTCCCTCTCTGACTGTAGAGCCAGACAGCTGGATATGGAATTCTGCTTTAGCACTTACCATTGTGTGTCCTTGGCTACGTGCATTTACTTCTCCCTCCCTCTGTTCCACCTGTCAAATGGGAGTAAAAATGTATTATTTCAGAGTTGACATAAAAGTAAATGACTTAATACATTATGTGCTTACAACAGTATAACGTGCTTGAAACAAAATAAGTGCTTAATCAATAATTAGCCATTGTCTGCTCAGCCGCCTACGGAAGCACCAGGGCCTGAAATAAAAACAATGCAGAGTTCTGGGAATGCATCCAAAGCAATACAGAAGTTGAAGGAAAAAACATATCAGTAAGTACCTATAAAATGATGTGAAATCGCCTGAAAATGCACGAAACATGCATCTAAGAGGTAGGTGGTAGGTAGAGGAGGCTAGAGAATTCAGAGTGATTGCAAAAACCCAAAGTTAGGAAGCACGGCAGTCCCAGGTGACTCACGTACAGATGGGGACGCTGGGTCCCATGGAAAGCTGTCCATAATGGCTACCCAGGCTCCCCAGTGCATGGAAGGACCCAGGAGCCAGACTCCAATGACTCTCAGACACTCTGTTGGTCAGATATCCCCCTCGGAAAATAAAATGCTCACAATCTCTCAATTGTCATCCCAAATTCAATATCCTTTATCTTAAAAATAAATAAATACTTTTTTTTTTCTTTCTAAGTCACTGACATCCAGATGAACTTGACTCATAGCAACCCCTCCTTGGGTTGCCAAGGTAGTATCACTATGAAAGTAGACTGCCCAACCTTCTTTCCGAGGAGTGGCTGGTCGGTTTGAACCACTAGCCTTCTGCTTAGCAGTCATGTGCCTTAGGCACTATGCCACCAGAGCTATATATATGTAATATTATTATGATTCATAGGATACATATTTAATATTACTTTATGATATATTACACTGCATTATATATATAACCATTATAATGAAATATGCAGAGACCTGGAGTTAGAAAACCAAAGGGGAAGAATACACTTGGCATTTCTCAAGCTGAAAGAACTGAGGAAAAAATTTAAGCCTTGAGTTGCAATATTGGAAGATTCTATGGGCAAAATATTGACTGCAGGAATATGCAGGAAACATCAAAAGAAGATGGAAGGAATACACAGAGTCACTGTACCAAAAAGAGTTGGTCAATGTTCATCCATTTCAGGAGCTGGCATATGATCAGGAACCAATGGTGCTGAAAGAAGACGTCAAAGCTGCATTGAAAGAAGTGGCAAAAAACAAGTCTCCAAGTATTGACTGGATATCTATTGACATGTTTCAACAAGCAGATGCCATGCTGCAAGCACTCACTTGGCTATGCCAAGATATTTGGAAGACAGCTACCTAGCCAACAGACTGGAAGGGATTCATATCTGTACCCATTCCAAAGAAAGATGACCCACAAAATGTGGAAATTATAGAACAATATCATTAATATTACATGTAAGTTAAATCTTACTGAAGATGATTCAAAAAAGGTTGCAGGAGTATATTGACAGATAACTTCCAGAAATGCAAACTGGATTCAGAAGAGGATGTGGAATGATGGATTTCATTGCTGATGTCAGACAGATCTTGGTTCAAAACAAAGAATACCAGAAAGATGTTTACTTGTGTCTTATTGACTATGCAAAAGCATTCAATTGTGTGGATAATAAGAAATTGTGGATAACGTTGAGAAGAATGGGAATTCCAGAACACTTAATTGTACTCACAAGGAAGCTGTACATAGACCAGGAGGCTGTTGTTCAAACAAAACAAGAGGACACTATATGGTTTAAAATCAAGAAGGAAGTGCATCAGGGTTGTATCCTTTGACTATACTTATTCAGTCTCTACATGAGCAAATAATCTGAGAAGCTGGACTATACGAAGAAGAATGTGGCATCAGGATTGGAGGAAGAATCATTAACAACCTGCAATAAGCTGATGACACAACTTTGCTTGCTGAGAGTGAGGATAACTTGAAACACTTACTGATGAAGATTGAGACTACAGTCTGCAGTATGTATCACACCTCAATATAAAGAAAACAAAAATCCTCACAACTGGACCAATAAGCAGCATCACAAAAAACGGAGAAAAGTTTGAAGTTGTCAAAGACTTCTGTAGTGTAGTAAATTAACTGGTTTGGCTTTTCTAGGCATAAGTCTTTATAAACTTATGGAATTTGCTATGAGAAACTGAGTAGCTCCTGATTGTTAAAGTCATCTACCTGGGGTATTTCTGTTGGGAGCAGCACAAAGCAATGTTTTGGGAAGTTTGCTCTCTCTCTCAGGTGCTTAGAATTCTGATGTTATGATTGGTTAGTTTGGCCATTCTGCCAGGCTCAAAAGGAGGCCTCCTAGAGGCAGTAGAGGTCTTTCTGCCTGCTGGCTGAGAAGGACGTGCTGCTGAGAGAAACGTGTTCCCAAGAGAAATGTGCTCACGAGAGAAAAGTGTTCCTGAGAGACACGTGCTCCTGAGAGACATGTGCTCTTGAGAGACACGTGCTGCTTGGAAAGGGATGCAAGAGACACACATTGCTGAGAGAGACACCGAGGGACACGCACTGCTGGGAGAGAGACTGTGAGAGACTGTTGGCTGAGAGATGG